ACTTTCCTAAAACCTGGGCCTGTGAACAGAAATGAAGCACCAGCACCAGGGACCAAGGACAAGGAAGAGACAACACTTCACTCCGGTGCCCTGGCCCAGGTACTGCCCCCACTCTGGCCTTCTCTGTAGCCCTTTGTACTTGGGGGCCCTGAGGTGTCTCTGTCCTCAGCCTTGTCCTCCCCCTGGTCTAGTCTGGCTTCTCTCCCACTCTGGGCACCTTCTCTGCAGGTCCCACTCCAGTGGGGGCTTTGCCCTCTTCTGGGGATGTCTCCACAATGGCTTCTGAATGGCCCCTCCTGCCCCTCGTCCAGGCCTGTTGTCCACTTGGTCCTCCTCACAGTCTGACAGTTGTGGGGCTGGCTGTCCCCTCCCGGCCCGTGGGGCTGCTGCTCTGTGGCCTTTCCTGTGCCCTCTTGGCCATTAGAATTGCACTAAAGGATGAGTGGAGCACTGGGGGCTTTTGGTTTGAAGCACTTGGATCAACTTTCTGTGCTACTGACCCTGTTATCCACTCAGAGTGGGAGGAGTTCGCTGAGCAGGAAGGGAAATCCTCTTTCCCAAGGTGCCCGCACTGTGAGCAGAAGAGGAAAGTCAGACTATCCCTAGGGGCATCCCTGCCCTCGCGTTTATAGTGCACCCACCGGTGGGGGAAATGCTGTTTATAATGAGGGAGAAAAGAGCCTCTCAGCCAATAGGGCCACCGCTGCCAGCTGACGTCATGCAAGGGCTGGACATGGTTTGCCTGGGCAAGGGACCGGCTCGGTCACTTAGCAGCCCTGTGACTTGGGCAGGCTACTCCCCTCTCTGTGCCCCATTTCCTCCTCTGTAAAATGGGGTGAGGCCCCTGGATTTGGGGAGGAATAGAGGAGTTCAGACACAAGGAGCTCTTAGAACAGTAGCCAGAGCCTGTGAATTTAGGTGTAGTTAGCCTGACATTAAATAATACTAATAAACATGCATAGGTGAAAGGTCAATCATGAATTGCACCTTAATATGAAAATCTAATGTTTGGGTATGGAGGCAGTTTTATTACTCATTTCTGTATTCAAATGATTGGGGTTGGGGGTTGGGCGTGTGTTGTTGGAAGCAGCAGAGCCAGACTTTAAGGGAGAGGACAAGAGTCTCAGCTGTTCCTGCAGCCCCTGCCCTCCTGCTCTCCCCCAGCTTCTTGCCTGGAGACAGTAGGAAATGCTGAAGGGAAGGGGTTGCTGGGAGGCAGGGCGCCCAGGCCACCAGATGGGAGAAACTCAAGGGAACCCTGCATTTTCTCTTTTCTCTCCTGCCTCAGGAACCCAGTGAGAAGGTTTAGTCCTGAGTATTTCTACTTTCACTTTACAAACTACCCTAACCATGGAGGTCGCAATGGCTGCTACCTCTGCTACCAAGTGAAAAGAACACAGGAGAGCTTGCCCTTTGACATGGGCACCGGGGTTTTTGAAAACGAGGTATGTGCCCCATGATGCTGTCATCAGAGGCAGGAGCTAAGCCAGGGAAGGATGTGGGGAAATGATAATATGTAAAATGCCACATATGTAAAATTACAACAACATTGTCCTAAGGTTTAGCCCTGGATGTCACTGCCTGACCATCCTGAAATGCCAGGTACACCTGAGCGAGCACGGCAGCCTCAGCATACACAGAGCAAGCCCCCGCCCTGCAGCCAAACACTAAGGTCT